GTGAGATGCTGTAAGCGTGCTGCAGCAACCGGGACCGAAATGCACTTGGAAAGTTTCTAACGAGGATTCAGCGCAAAACCCGACCACCTCCTCCTCACTGCTGCTTCTTCAGTGGAACACGAGACCTTGCGACCACAATTGGAACCACAGAGAGCAATGCGATCAGCAGAGCCCAGAGAGGGCGGTAGAAGAGCCAGCCAATGGAGATGGTCAGGAGCGACAGCGAACTGGCTACGCAGAAGGCAAATGCCTTTAATCCAATGTTAACCAGATCTCTCACAACAGGAAACCAGTCCACTGTGGGAAGAATTAAAAAGGGATAAAGTAGTTACCAAGATGATAGTTTGAAAGGAAGTCTTATTTGTGCCTGGGATTTGCACATGAACTATTGCAATCAAAAGACAGACTCAAATTATTTATCAAGAGCACTGGATAAGGCATTTCAGCAGAGTATCCTCAAGGCATTTGATAATTAAGCAACAATTAAATATATAAGGCAACAGTATCCTCATCTCTTCAGACAGGAACTAACCCAAAATTAAGTCTGAAGACTCCTCCAAGGCTTGAGAGGCACAGTAGACTGACAGCCTTGCAGCTATGGAAGAAGTCTAGGGCACCTGATACAACATGCTAGCACAAAAATTCATTTCTGGCAACAATAAAACTTGCAGTAGCAGGCATATGGATATAGAGAAAAAAAAAAAAAAAAAAAAAAAAGAGTTCACAGCTACAAAGCAAATGATAGCTTTGATGTATGAAGCTTATACAAGTTTGAGGCACTGTCCTGCTTTTCCATAAGTTTTTATTCTAACATTTTTCCACATTAAAAGGATAAATGAAAACTTTCTTTGCTGTTTGTTCACAGTAGCATGGAATAACCAGACACAAAGACTCGTTACTATACAACTACTAACTAAGACTTGTTGGGGGGACCACTTGCATATGGGTGTAGTGAGTAACTGGATTGCAGCACCTTGAGTTAGACTTGAAAGAACCAGCTCAACATGTGCTTCAGCTTCTGATTTCAGTAAGCACTGGGCTGGGATCTTCTGAGACCGGCAATAGGTATTTGCATATTTTTTTTACTGCTCACAAAGCAACCATCTGGTTCTGGGATCCTGTTTGCCTGCAATTGCCTACAGTGACTTTGAGATCAAATCCAACCTGAATTCGTATCAGATTCCTCCTGACCTTCAAATTAATTAATTGTGTATGTGAGCAAGAGAAAACTCTCTAAGGGTTGTGATCCTATTTAACTAAATCATTTTACCTTTCTGTAAAAAACTTACCTAAAGTGTAAAAGATTCGGGTCATTAGGCTGACGCCTACAAACATTGCCAGCCAGCCTGCTGCTCGGAGGGCCCAGGTCTTCATGGTGTTACTCTCATGCTCTTTCTGAAACACCTCCTGAAAGCAAACACCATTACATGCAGCCTGTTTCTCAGTTTCTTTTGAGAGCCTCTTGATTCCAGTGTATTATGAACAAATCAGAGTCAATAGCATTTTAGGAGTACAAATTCTCCCGTAGAAGACACACTGCAGCTCATTCTGCAGGGTCTTTTTGTGCAGTACCACAGCACGTTACAATAGATTTCAAAGTGGAGCATGAGGGAAACCAGCATTTTTCTGAATTAGGGCAGCTAAACAAGCACTGTTCAACATTCTATAACCACAGGCAGAAGCCACAGAGTTTTTGCTGCAAATGGATAGATTCAACATTACTGTAGAATAAGACACTAATAAGTAAATGTAATAAAGGAGGAACGATCTGACTTCACTATGTTTGGAGGGAGAGAGAAAAGGCAACAATATCCACTGATGGCTGAAGGAAAGGTCTATGAAAGAAAGCAAGCAGTATGCAGGGAAGGAAAGGTAAAAGCTATGTGTATACTTCATCAGGCAAAGAAAAGCATCTATTTGCAAGAATTCCCAGTAAGATTTTCTCAAAATGGACTGTGTGCCCTTTTGGCTCTGTAAAATACACACGTGAAGACGGCCAAGACATAACAAAGCACTTAATGGGAAAAGATGTGTATGACCAATGGATTACTTGTACATACAAGCACTCTACAAATTACTCATTTGTAGTGAGTTAATTTCCAATGAACTAAAATTCTGTCTAATGAAGATTCAGAGCTCGCAGCAGAGAGACGATTCTACTGCTACTCTCTTTCAACTCAAAACAAAAGGCTTTTTAACTGCTTTTGGGAGCTCCTGTGAATTATTGACATCTGAGATTTTTGCAGCAAGGCATGAAACAATCATTAATGGAGACAAACCTACTAAAAGGAGTAAATGAATCACCAAATTGCTGGAGCATGCAGGATTTATTGGAGCATAATACTCTGCCTGAAGGTTCTTTCTCAGCCAGAACAGCAATAAACATTTCAAACAAGCCTAAACTGCTGTTATTAGAAGCTGGAGAAAGGATAGCTCCTATGGTTTGTTTAATTAAAGCCTGATTTTTACTATTTTTACATACGACCTTTTCAAAAGCATGTGCTTGCACGTCTAAGTGGGAAACTACCAAAGAGCAAATAAAAGCAAAATGAGAAGGAACAGAAAGAGTCTTTAAAGCAAAGGATGTTCAGCAGCAACACAAGGGCATTAAAAAAAAAAAAAAAAAAAAAATCGCTACTTTAGCCACAGTTCCTTTTTAAAATTAAAAAAATAAATCAGGAATAACTATAGCCAAGTTAGGCACTGCTAGTGGGCAAAGCACGGCTTTTTGCTGCAGCACAAAGTGCAAAAACCTGGAAGGCAAACACAGGCTATACCACATTGTCCTAGAAAAACAAGAGAGAAAAGCCAATGATTACATCAAGTATCTCCTCCTCTTGAGCAGGTCTGGAGGAGAATGAGAGCTCACTCCCCTGCTGCTTCTGCACTACCATCTCCAATTTTGTCCCTTCACTAGTACAGCGCGGTATCTCACCTCCACAGAGAGATCCCCAGGGTACAGAATCTGCAGGACATCTCCAGACTTGGTATGATATGGAACCAGTTGATCGCCTCGCTGGCGAGCAATCACAGTCACCTTGGAAGAAAGGGAAAAGTATTTACTGGTGACTGAGTTGGGAACAGGGTTTGCAAAACACAGAAACAGCTGAAGACTCACCTTGTCAGCAGAGCCCAAATGGGGGTCATCTCCACTCAGACCTGCATAGAAGAACGAGACACGAAGGTCTCCTACCTACAAACAAGAGCATATTGGAAGTAAAGAAAGATTTCTTTACAAAGCAGAATCACAGGAAAGACAACTCTGCACAGGAACACACTTTATGTATCAACACCTTCTCCGAATGTTTACATCAAGCCAAAGGACAGCCAGAATGATTTCCAAGCTGTGCTTTTTTCAGGCCTAGCTGACAGGTCAGGTCTGTTTCACAATACTCCCTCTGATTTAGCTGCAGGAGCACACTAACACCAATGAGATCCTACGCTCACCCCTTGTCATTTCATCTTTTGGCAGAGGAGGGCAGGCAGCACAAGCTGACAACAAGCTATTTCGTCGCACTCCCTTCAGTACAGCAAGGCAGAGGCAGAACCCACCTCCCCCAGCACCATCCAGTGCCTCTTCATTTAAAAGCATGACAGACTCACAAAAACAGTAGACAAAGAAGCAGGATCAGAAGCTCCCTGTAAGAGAAGCACTCATGCTGAAGGACTGTACTAAGGTCATCATCCTATGTGATGGCCTGCACTCCAATTTCTACGTATTTAAATAGAAATGGGACATACCCCAACTTTCTTTTTCACATAATAGTAATCACTGCTTTGGTTTATCTTTCTCATCTTACTTCTGGACGCCTGGGGTTCTCGCTGTGGTAAAAGTAATCTCCTCCTCGAGTAACATCAGCATGTGGATCCTCAAGGTTTGACAAGCTCAACTGCTTGAAGTCATCAATTTTATCCACGAGACCTAAGCAGAATAAAGACTCAAGCTGAGGTCCAGTGTCTAACTTGGAACAGCCAGTTTGCTGGCTGGCTTCCTGATTATCACTTGAAATGACCACCACTGTGGAAAGAACCAAAGCCCACTGCTGATGCAACAGCAGACACAAAGCCAGTACAAAGCAATCCTTACCCTTGGAAAGAACAAAGCTGCCAACCTGGACGTTAGGAGAAACAGCAGTGAAAGACTCCACAGCCATTGCACTGGGGAACAGAGAGAGCCCCTGATTAGTCCCAGAATCATGATCAAACTCTTGATTTGCAGTATGTAATATACAGCACACAAAAGGTACTATGTCAAACATCAGGAGAAACTCAAAGAGCTAAATGGCTGTCATGATGTGAAAAGCAATCCATCAAGAAACCGTGTCCAGACCTCATAGTGCTGGAGACATTAAAATAAGTTAAAACAAGACATGACTGTCTCATCCCCAGGCCCCTTTCCATTCACACCACAGGATTTCACCAGGTTTTTTCTGTACTGAACCTACAATGGGCCAAAATGGAGTTCAGCTCTTAGGAAGCTGTTCAGTGGTGACACAGAGGTTTTAAGTGATAATGAATTAATCACATTCCTAGATGAATTCCTGCAACATTTAACTACACTCATAAATGCACTTTATTTCTAGCCTGAATTTATTTAGCTTCTGCTGTCAACTGCTAGATCTTACCTGCTAAATGAAGAAACCTAGATCATAAACCTTCCCCATACAAAGGCACTTCCACATCATGGCCAAGCTAATTAAATTCAAAACTCAGGAATCTTTACTCACAAACTCGACTTCATTCTCCTAAGTAGTACTACTAGAATTTCCTTGGCAATAAACAATGGATTTTATTTTCACAAATGTCTTAAGTTGCATATAAAGATAAGATGGATGGATGGAAGGAAGAAGACATGTAGTACACACTTAAAACAGAGTCTCATTAATGCTAGGCAGGAATTCTAAAGATCAGCATGTCTGCATACACCCTGGCGTCTCACACAAGGATCCACCACAGCTGTGCTCTATCTCCGTGGTTTGTACCAATCCACTCACATGCAATATTCTCAGCTGCAGCACTTCTTAAATTATGTACTGCAATAGCACTAGATCAAAAATGTTTCTTACTCTCAATTGGAGATTTGCGTTTATTGGAGAAGGCCTGGAGAATCTTCATTAACAAAAAAGGGTGCATGGGGAGGAGAGAGAAAGCAGGTACGTCATCTGTGCATCCCTGTTTCCATTGTCTCTCACGTAAAAAGTCTGCTAGCTGGGACTTATAATCAAAACCACATAGATCTTTGCTTTCCTTCCTTAAGTAGTACCTCCAATAAAGGGCAGTGTATTTGGATGAGCCCACAGAACCAGAACAAAGTTCTGCAGATTTTGCAAAGTTCAAACTTTTATTGAAATCCTGGTCCTACTATCTCTCCAGCTGTATTTTTCACTCACACATAATGTTTTTTGCATGATGGCACACTGTAGTGTAACTAAAATGCTGCAGATGAGAGATAATACGAAACAAATTATATATGGGTGATTGCCACAAATAAGCCTGTGAGCTCATACATGCTGGTTTAGAAAAAGCAGCATGCAAGTGGTGTGACAAGCTCATGGGATGCCTGCTATTCTAACCCTGTGCTGGTAATAGGAGAAAGCATCAGTGCTAGGCTATATTAATAAAAACTCAGAAAGGAACCCCTTCAAATTCTCCTACATGAAGACCACATGGTCTAAAGGTAATATAAGAACAACCTGATGCCCAGCCATTACTAATAGATAGCTTAATTCTGGTTCCACCAGGCAGCTTTAAACTGCTCTCTAATTTCTCCACGCCTTAGTTCTCTCAAATACCAAAAACCGAACATTTTCCATCCACTTCACTGTCATGAAGATCAGTCATTTAGCTCTCATCTTTGAGAGATACACTGACAGAATCTAGAGGGACTGTGCCAGGTGACAAATTACCTAGGGTTTTTGTGTCCAATTTCTCGATCAAAGTTTCTGCTGTTCACAACTTCCGATTTCCACTCGGTATCTAAAGAAAACAATACGAAGATTGAGAAAAAGACAGGAAGAATTGCCACTCAGATCTTAAGTTACTGAAGACACCTTTCAATCAATTAGTTCTAAGTTACGCTTCTAATAATACTGTTTACATCAAGGTATGTATGTGATAGTCTGTACTGATACTTAAATCCATCCTCCTAGCATATTAACTAGGAATGGCAGGATTTAGGAAAAAAAAGAATTTCAGGGATAAAATTGTAACCCGGCTTTACGCAGTGGGAGCTTTGCTGTTGGCATCTTCCATGATCAGGCTTTGATGCCTGGCTCCACTCTTTGGGAATAATCTGGTTTTGTGAGGAAAGGCTGTGAGCTCTGCTGGATCTAGCAAATTCCAATGCAGTAAGCAACAGATAAAAGAAGGTACCTGTATGTGCCCCTGTCAAAAAAGCATAATGCTGCCTTTGTTCAGGCTGCAGCAGCCTTCCCACTTTTCCAGAACAAACTGCAGTACGGTCCTTATAATTCCTACAAAACTAGAGTTCCTTTTTTGAGCCGCTTCCACATTAAATATAGCTTGCCCTACTTCCATGAAGGAGCAGAGAGGAAGGAAAGGGAGTTTGGTTAAACAGTGGTGTAGGTAACATTGAAAGGGATATTCTGGTATATTTGGTACGTGGCAAGATTTTGGTAGCAGGGGGTCCTGCAGGGGTGGTCTCTGTGGGAAGAGGTCAGTGGCTGCCCTGTGTTGGACACAGCTCGCTCCACGTCAAACCCACTGCAGGCCCCAGCTGAGCCCATCAGGGAAACACTTCTGTGGAAACATTTTCAAAAACAGGCAGAAAACACCAAATGGGGAAAAGAGGGAACAAAAAGGAATAAGAAACAACAGAGGGAACACCAAAGTCAGAGGAGGAGGGGCTCCACAGCAGAGCAGACATTCACTGCAGCATAGAGAGACACCGTGCTGGAGCTGGGGAAAAGGGAGAAGGAAGGAGCAGCAGAGAGAAACCCCTACGTACCGACTGTAAACCTACCCCCAACCCCTGCACCGCTGGCTGCCCCACTAAAGGGAGTGAGTGTAACCTGTGGTGACCACAAGGGTAGCGGGGGCAAGGGGAGAAGAGTCTGGAGTGAAGTTGAGCCTGGAAAAGAATGGCAGCAAATGTGTTTTGCCAACACCCTAATCAGTAATTAAATATTTATTTTAATTGACAATAAATTAATTTTCCCCAAGTCAAGTCTGAAATCTCCCTGTCTTTATTTCAACCCATAAGCTCTCTCATTCCTGTTCTGCCCTATCTCTTCCCCAGTCCTGCTGAGGGGGAGAGTGAGTTAGCCAAGGCTCACCCCCAACATCTGATAATATACAGACTTTTACTGGACAGAATTCATCAATCTTGAGAGGGCAGCTGGTTTTTTAAAACAGCATTTCTTTTTGTTCCCTGCCACTGTAAGGCTGTTTTTCACAGCTCACAACCACTAGCTTTGCTCCTTATGTATCTCCATGCTTCAATGACCTGGGGCATTTTTATGATCACACCCAGAAACTGCTGCACACCCACATTACACATCCATGTTCTTTAATCAGAGATAAATGCAGCACAGAGACCAATCTCCAGACATACAATGACTCAGAGTGTTTTTCTGCCACTGGGTAGATCAGAATAATGTTCTCAGTTCTGCGCCTGCCAAAAAAGCATTTGGCAAAAGCCACAGCATGCATCAGAACGTGCTGGTGGTTTTCATTAGCTGGTATCAACACCTAAACACATTCTCAACAGGCTGTCTTACAGGCTGGAGCTACACTGTTCTTCCCTGTCCGTTCTCTTCTGCTCATGCCTGACATATGCCCAATTACTCCACTTCTGAAGTGCCATCTCAGGCATATCATTGAACACACTTCCATCTCTGCCCATCTCCCGCCACTGAGGACCTTATGGGTCCTGTCTCTGGAGCATCCTATCCCTGGACGCTGCTCTGAACCTCTACGAGTTACATGACAAGACTTTCTGTTGTAGTTGCTTGCTAACAACACACCTCCTTTCACCTCAGTTACCTCAAGAAAGGGAGGTCCTGCCATTTGTTTAGGAAACAGAATTTTTGCTTATTTCTTCATACTCCTTTCCTTTCTTTCCCAACAAAAAAATAAGGCTTTACAACAAAAATCCAAATACACGTACATAGAAGTCTGAAGTTACATGCATAAAAGAAAAGGGACTTTCTGTTGATCAACTTACTGTATGAATACTTTGTCTCTTTCTTAATCTCACCATTCTCTTCATATTCCCTGCAGAGAAAAGGGGTGGGATGAGAACCAAGACAGTGCACACACACCCCTGCTCAGGGCAGAATACACTTTACAAGTGAAATGCACAGACAGCTCACTGGCAACACAAACTTATGTTTACAAGTAAACTAACTCTTCTCTGAACTACCTTTCTGAAGACTTCTGTGGCCTCAGACCTACATAATAGTTAATAACTTTTATACAACTGTCAGTGGAACTATGAACAGAAATGTTTGTCCCCTTCTGCCTGCAACTATTAGCAGAGTAGGTAATATCTCATAGCTTTGTAAATCCTCTTGAAAATGTACGTAGACTGCAATATTGCCTATTATAAACAAATCTGAGCATCTCTGAAGCCACTAAAATTTGCAGTTTACTTTCACAGCTAGAAATTAATGTTGGCTTTTGATTATTAAGGATAAAGGGTAGCAGTATCTTCTAAAAATCAAGAAATCATGTCTTGGTTTAACTAAGTATTTCAATTTGCACATGCATGAAGCACCAAAGAAATTAAGAGACTTCCCTCATAGTCATGTCCCAAAAAGGCTCAAGCGTCCACAGGTCTGAGAAAAGAATCTGACTTGTAGATTCAATTGGATACAACAGGGGGGTTTAATTGCTTTGAAACAGTCTAGCGTAGGTAGGCTGTAGGTGTCAACCAGGCAGGTTTTGGGTCAATGGCTTTATCAGAGTTTATTCTGGAATTCATAACTGAAATTGTTGGGTTCACTTACCTGTCTAACGGAAGTTAAGACCCCTTTGGGAGATTCAAAAAAAACAACAACCAACCAACCAAAAAAAACCCAAACAAGGAAATCATTGTCATTGTGGAAGAAAGGAAGACAGCCAAGGGAAAATATGATGAAGTTTCTGGATTCAGCAAAAATCCTTCCGTATTTCCTTTTTGAGGACAGGGAAAATATTGGCATGAGGGTCCACGATCAAGTTTTAAGAGAATGGCAGCAGGAAAGGATTAGCAAATGCAGGGAAAAAGAGGATTATGAAGTTTTATTTGAAAAAAATCAGGACCAAGAATTTTGGGGTAATGGTTTTGATTCTGCTAATCAACTAGCAGGCAGGGAGTATTATGCCAGTGGAGTTACAGAAATCCTGATGGGCAGAAAGTACATCAATAAATAAAAGAAGCTTTAGGAACATTAGAAAGGACAGAAATCAACAGAGTCTTCGGAAAAAACACGTGTGTTTTCCTTGGGTTTTTTTTTAAATTTTTAATAAATTGGTAAAGATCTTTGAATTCTGTTGACAATACATATAACAGAAAATAGATCAACGGGCTCTGAGGTGGCCCAGCATCAGACAACAATAATGAAAACATGAAACCTCAGCTGCAGCATGGAGGCCAAGAAACCCCATATGAAGTCATACAAAATCAGGAAGTGGAAACATTTGATAAAAGGCCTTGGACGTTACCCAAATTTTATCAGATGCAAATTCTGCAGCATTGGCCATCTACAAGACCTGACATCTCCAAGGAAACTAAAGTGACCCTAAAAAAACCCAAGAGCTCTAGAATTCTCCTGCTGTAAAGACTTGTTGGGATTTCTTTTCTTTGGGGGTGGAGAGAGAAAAAGAATAACATGATGGGATCTTGTTAATACAACAGCTTTATAAACAACTTTGAAAGATTTCTTTCACTTACGTGGAATCTTCGTATTCTACCCATTGGTACATTTCCACGTTACGCTTAAGTTTGACAGCCTGGATGGACAGCCCATAGCTGGGATCAAACAAAGGCTATTTAAAAATTAAAGAAAATACAAGTTAGTGTAAATGCTGTACCTAACAAACTCAAACACTCTACTTTTATTATCAAATCTCTTTACATACCTGTACATAGTCAGCACTGTGTTACACACAGCTGAATATAGAATAAATGTTATGAAAGACAAAAAGGAGCATCTCTTTATATCACTGATAAATCTAACCCAAAGAATCGTCATCAAAAATTGTCATTAGTAAAACCAGAAATGCTGGCTTAAGTGTTTAAACCAGGGAGGGATTTTACTTTGCTGGAAGCTACCACGCTGTGTTACCTTCTGCAATGTGGGCTGACCACAAAAAATTACATCACTACTGAAAAGTCAGAACTTGCAAAGCCTCCGTGCTGCAAGAGCCTAAAGACTTCACAATATCGTGAATACACAACAGGTTCCCTAGAGGAACTGAAATTATCCACCAAAGGCAGCAGGAGGGTAAACACAGCTAAAGGTAGCATGTCGCTTGGGAGTGGGGAGACAAAGGCTGTACAGCATCTCCCCGATTCTGGGCCAAAACCAAAAGCTTGGGTGGTAGCCGGCAATGCTTACAGAGGAGGAGAGATGCTACATGGCTTCTCCCTGGATAGCAAACAATTTTCATTGGCAATACTTTTTCATCCCTCCAAGCTTGAAATACTTGTTTCTTCAAGATCCTATTTTATTTACCTTAGATGTACTCAGAGCACCAGCTAAGTGCACCAATCTCCCTTCATTCTGCTGAGACACACTCTGGATGCTATCAAGAGGGATCACAAGAGAAAGTCCCTCATCAAGAGATTTGGCTGTCCTTAAAGCTCGTCCCTGCAATCAAGAAAAGCAAAATCAAGTTGTGGAGAATGATTGACACAGCATTATTTTGTGAAAAAGGTTAGCAGACAAGTGATCTGAAGGTCACAATGAATGTTGTATATTCAGCCTTGGGTCATATTCTTGAAGCACACTTGTGTTCTATGCTCTTTCTCTGACAGTGTTTGGGACAGTACTTCTTACCTGTGCAGCATGACCATTAACATTGACTAAGCTCCTCAAACACACGTAATTATCCCTACAAAGGTCTAAAATTATTGCTTTTCATCTCTTACCTTGCTCATTGTTCACGAATAACTGCAAAAATTATGCTGATTATGGTCCTTTTTCCATAGGCCTATACAACTACTTGGCAGAAGTTTTCCCTACCTTTACCATCATGTTATGGTGTACTTTTTCCTGCAAAGTCACTGAAATTGGGAGTAGTCCTCTTTCCTCTTGTAGAGGTATAAAAGGAAGTCTTAGGTGAAAATTCAGAGTTCTACTCTCCACTCCAAAACTGTCAAAAGCACATATGTTCACAATGGTAAGGTGTTAGGATTCCCTGCTTACTTTAATTATTTTTTCAATCTAGAAACAAGACATAAAATAACACTGAAAATAATTAACACCCCTGATTTTGCAACATGGAGTATTCCTTTAATGCAATTATAACAACACTAGAAATGAGGACCCTGTATTATCTCAAGAAAGAGAGAAGGCTGGAATGTGGCTGGCTCATACAACCCTCTTTCAATAACACTACAGCCTGTTTCTGCATCAGCTTACAAGTTTTGGATCTTGCCTCTCATTACACACTGCCACTGTCTCTACTACACTCAGTTCTTCAGAAACACAATCTGTGGCCCTGTGATTTCACTTTTCTGTTATATCCCAAGCACAAGCATCAGGTTCTCCAGACATAACATCCTCTTCTCATGGACGAAGTAATGAAGCTTTAACAGGACCATTTTAGTAAGCCTACACATGCATAACCAGCTGAATGTCATCTCAGCAGGGACATTTAAAAACTGTGTATAAACACCGACAGTATTTCACTTACTTCATTAGTAAAAAGAAGGTAGAAAGACAGAAGAAATGTCACAAGTCCCATCAACATGCCTCCAGAAGTCTCGCTGAGCCTCTCCAGGAACCCTGGTTTGGACTCACTTGTGATTTTAACATGTTCTTTTCTGCTGCCTGTGTTGGAGAACTGTTGGAGATAAACCAAAAAATGCAATATTGGCATGAAACAGAAAGGCCTTCTGTTGCAAGATAAGACTTCTAGCTTTGTTAATACTGCTGCTCTACAGAGTAGCACCTCTTGCCTTGGACCAGAACTTTCCCACACTTATTAAACACCTTTTACATCACACTTTTGATATCAGAAATACAGTAAATAAATAAATCTCAAGCCTAATGAAAAAACTATTTTATTATAGTGGTTCAACATGTTCCTTCAAGCTTTCTTCAGTCTGTCTTTAGGTTCCCTATTTGGTGCCCACACCCTGCACTCAGGCCATGACAAATTGAGTAATACTCCTGAATTCCAGACCAGCTAAAACATAGCTATAAATAACAAGTTACACTTTACCTCACCAGTGTTAAGTGCCTGCATACTCTAAAATAACTGCATCTAGAACCACAAAAAGAGATAGCTTAAAACAACATTGCTGTTGCTGCCCTAGCCAGGGCCACACGGAAGCCCAGGGGTTGATCTGTGCGTACGCCAGCGGCGGGGAATCACCAACAAGTATCTTCGGATTAGCACACACAGCCGAGACAGGAGGTGAGGCTTCTCTTCTGCTCACCCGGAGATGCCAGGCGGGATGTGACAGCGGCCCCTCCGCTGCACAGGGCCCCTCGCCTCAGACAGGCC